AGGAATACAATCGGTATCCAGATGTCGGGTCTTTTCAATCACCTTTTATTAATACTCCCCGATTTAGGCTTTAGACCCCAGTCCGAGAATCTGTACAAAGCTATAACCAAGGAATGAACTTGAATAAAATGGAGTCAAGAAAGCAGATGGTCTGCTATCAAAACCCTTTAAGCCTAAAATAACCTTTCCAAAGGAAGGAGGATAGTTAATTAAAACCAAGCTATATTTACTTGATTCTGAATATCTCAATGTAAATAAAAAAAAAATCTCGATGGTGCTCCTGTGATGTCGGACTAAACCATGGCATTTCATTGATCCTCTTTTTAAGTTTCTAATCAAACCTTTCATTAAATAGCTTCAGAAAACTCCGTGGAATTGTGCAATAAATAGCCACAGATCTAAATGAATCACATTTACTATCCTATGGAACTCCTTCATTCTGTGGAGCACTCTGAAAAAGGGAGTACCCTCTGACAGATATATTGCATCTACCCACGAGATCCTGGTTCCAAGGTGACCTGGTTTTTGAGGACATGGGGTCAATGAGGCTTGAACCCAATTTAGGGCAGAGAGAGAAAGAAAACCCTGTCCAGAAGCCACAGAGGCACTTTTCACCATGTTTCTCCAATTCATAAATCTATCCCCACTGCTAAGGAGGGGAACCAGGTAAGAGAAGGCCATTTGTCACTATTCATAAAAACAAACCCAACTGCCCATCTTGGGAATGATGGGTAGTAATGTCTTCCTAAAAAAATGAAAAAACGGAGCAGCTAGGTGGCGCAGTGGATAAAGCGCTGGCCCTTAAGTCAGGAGGACCTGAGTTCAAATCCGACCTCAGACTAAACACTTGACACTTACTAGCTGTGACCCTGGGCAAGTCACGTAACCCTAATTGCCTAAAAAAAAAAAAAGTGAAAAAACAAAATACGCTAGTCAAAATACTGCCAAAGGCAGCCATGATGGGTTAGTAGAAACAATAGGAGGCAGCATGGCGAAGAGTGTTGGATGTGCAGCCAGAAGACCTGGGTTCAATACCTGTTAGAGGCAATTACTCCTAACTACCTCATCACCTCCACGACCATGGGCAATCCAAGCAACCACCAAAGAGCTTCAGCTCCCCAATCTGGAAAATGCCAGGGTGGAACAAGGCAGTAGCCAAGGTCCCTTCCAACTCTCCATCTATGAGGACTTCGAGAACACTGGGCACTGCAAACTAGGAAGAGTTGGGTTCTAGGCCTGGCTTGACCATGAACTAACCTGCTACGGGAACTTTCTGAGCTCCTGTCCTTATTTCTAAAATGAGCATGATATTCCTATTCCTCTCTATTGTTGTTTTTAAAATGAGATAAAGTATGCGAAAGCAATTGCCAGAGTACAAAGCTCTGAGAGATATTATGTACCAAGAAGCCAAGTTATTTTAAGGGAAGGAAGAAAATACATATTTATATGATGCATATTATATAGTATTATGTATCATATGTAACATTATACATTTTAATTTAATAGATAAAATATAAAACAATTTTATATCTTATGTAAATATAGCTGGGTGTGTTGCCAACAATGTAACCCTAGCTACTGAGCCTGGTGTATTCCCTGGATCTGTACTAAGTCCATCAATTAATATAGTGAGCCCTCAGATGGCATAAACCACTAGGTTGCGAAAGGAGGAAGGAACTGGCCCAGGTCAGAAATGGAGCAGGACGAAGCACCCATGCCAATCTATTTTAGTAGGATTGGGTTTGTGAGTAGCACCTGACCTTCCAGCCCAGGTGAAATAGGGACTTAGTCTTTTAAAAAATATCTATCTATCTACATATACATTCATTACATATTTACATAATATATAATCTATTATTCAAATAGATCATATATTCAAATATATATAAATAACACATATATACGCTTATAACATGTAATATAACATAATAGAAACACACAGATATCTACATTTTCCCCCTAATAAACTTCTGTATTCTTGTTCATCTTTCATGACCAATTCATACCCTACCACAAATATTTCTATGAACCTTTTGGCTTAAACCCTAACTCTATTTCTCCCTCCTCGAAACCCCCATGGCACCTTTTGTCTGTATTGTTCATTTGATGCTTAATTATATACTTCTCTGTATGCACATTGTCAATTAGCCTTTGAGGGGGAGAGAGAGAGAGAGAGAGAGAGAGAGAGAGAAAGAGAGAGAGGGTATGTGTGTGTGTGTGTGTGTGTGAGAGAGAGAGACAGAGAGACAGAGAGAGACAGAGAGAGACAGAGACAGACCAGAAAAACAGACAGAGTTCTTGTCTTCCTAACCAGACTAAGAGCTCCTCAGGGGCAGAGAACTCTACTCTCCCCCACAGCACCTAACAGAGTGCTCAGTCCATAGCAGGGGCTCAGGAAATATTGGTTGATTAAATAAACATTTGTTAGAACTAGGAAAACAGACACTGTCCTTACAATGGGCAACTGAGAGGTATTCTCCAAGCACTCACACATTTCACATGTCAAAGGTGCTGCTACTAAGTGCCATATACTTTCTTCCATCAGGTATCCTATTCATTCACCTGGTGATATGGCTAATAAAATTTGATTTTCACAGCACAGGCAAACTGTTACCTAAATTACATCTGACCAATTACTGAAGCAACCAGACGTGTGGTACAGAATATATATACTGTGCAACAAATTCATCTGTGAACCCCCTGGCACTTTTAGTAATCAAACAGAAGTGTTTCAGTCATCTGGCAGTGTTTAATATTAGTAACATTTGTTTAATGCTAGTCACTAATTAAATTTATGTCCTTCTACCAACTGCTAGTTGTGGGGAGAAATCCTAGCCATACGTTTTTACTAACTCCTTCAGCCCATGGCTCCCTGGCAAGACCAGATGATTTAAAAGTATACTCTTTGGAAACTTAACGTGCATTCCACAGTGGGGAGGGAAGACAGGTAATATCAAAGTTTCCAAAATTAAGAAATTCCCTGATTTTGTTAGCTTGCCTCATAGCACACTATGGGAAAATTTCAAAGGCATTCCATTTAAAAAACATCTACTGCCCTAATTATTATGGCCAGATATCCCAGAAGCTTTTTCAAGGCACCTTCAATAAAGAAAGTTAGCATTGCAAAAGACAGCTTCCACTTTAAGAGGTCCGGGAAGAAAAACAGCATTAAAATAAGCAATGTCACCAAGAGATTCAGGAAATCGTGGCTTCGAAAAGTCAGAGGCAAAGGTTTGGAAGAAACATTTAAAATGGATTTAGTAACTCCAACAGCCATCTTGATCACTGTTGAATTGTTAAATTCTCAAATTACAGAAGAATCTTAATGGTAAGAGTTTTGAAACTCAATGACTAATAACTCTTAAATTAGCCCCAAAGGTTAAACCTTTTTTTTTTCATTGCATTACATTGTGAAATTCAAATTTCGAATGCTCTCAAACAAGAGGGAAGGAATTCTTTCGGTTTTATTTTGTGTCAGTAAATTAGAGGCCTCAGTAGAGTGGTGGGGGGGGGGGGGGGAGAGGGGGGTTTGAGGGGCCAAAGAAGGGAAGCTTAGGGTAGGACTGAAAAGAGGGATACACACACACACACACACACACACACACACACACACACACACACACATTTTTATCTAGCTGAATAAAAATTTTATTTCAGAGACATTCCAGAAACATCTACCGCCCCAATTATTATGGCCAGATGTATTTGTACTAAAATATTCACATATCTTTGCTTTAAATACTGGGGAAGGGGGTGGGGAGGTGATAAAGTCTTTCTTTTTTCTAATCAGCATTTTCCTTTTAAGGACTGGTAGAAATTTGGTGGACTTACAGATTTCATAGCTGAAATGACATCTAATAACACAGTTTGAGCCCTTTCATAGGCTTTGGGATCCACTGAATGCTGACCTCTCCATGGCCCTTCCCTCTCTCCCCTTGACTTCCACAATATGCCAATGCTCCCCCAGGGCAGGGATACTGGTGTAGGAGGAACCTCAATGAAACCTCTCCACAGGCATTACAAGAATGATTACTGTGACTGTGTATACTTAATTGGTATACACCACAATAGATCACCCTACAACCAGTAGGCCATCTAAGAGAACCAAGTCAAGGAGAAACACCAAGTCACAGGATGGCGTAAGCAACAATTTAGAACCCCACAATGTTTGGGGCCTGGATGACAGGGGGTGTGTGTGTGTGTGTGTGTGTGTGTGAAAAGCACATCATAATCTGTACTTGAAAGGCAGTGGAAATTCTTAGTCCAAGAATTTGAGTTCAAAATCCTACCTTTGGTACTAATTACCTGTGTGACCTTGGTCAAATTGTGTACCCACGTCCAGGCCTCAGCTATTAAATTTGGGAGGTGGGGGGGTTGGACTCAGTGGTTTCTAAGATGACTTCTGGCTTAAAATCTAGGCTCCTACGTGCAGCAAAGAGATTTCCAAAATGGTGCTCTGATATCAATAGTGGATATCTAATCCTGTCTGGATACTGACAATGAAATACACACACTGACTCACGTTTGCTGAGTGACTTGTTAGGGAAAAACCAACATACCCCAGAGACAAACCCTCGATGCCTGTTAGTACACAACAGGACCAAGCATGCAGTGCTGTACCACAATGAGGGGTAAGTGACCATTAAGTAAAAACAATAGCCAAACAACTGAAGTTCATTGGACAGGAAGCTTTATGCTTTTTGGTTCTTGCCCAAAGTCCAATTTCAAGGTCTAACAAGCAGCTTCATGCTGTATATGCTGAACAACTTGTCTGTAGACTCGAAATAATAATCCCTTTGCCTATGGTAAACAGAGGTTGTGAGAGAGACCCGAACATGGTTAAGAATCCACAGCCAACCATCATTTGCCACAGTAATTGGGGGGCAACATCAGACATGTGAGAATGAGCACTGTTCACCATTACTGCTCTTTTTTGGAGCTAAAAACAACTACAAAGAAAGAAGATTCACGTGGGAAACAAAAAAGAGAGAGACACTTACCAAATTCATCACATATACTCTCATTTTCTATAAGGGTTGGGTGGTCAAAAGTGTCCCGACAGTAAAGGATTTGTGGATTCTTACTGACCACGGCAATCCCACCCAGGGCTAACACAAACTGGTCTGTTAGCACTGAGGATGGCTTGTCTTGAATACGCTTCAGCATGGAACGGTAGCGACAGTACTGGGGGTAGCTGAGGACAATCACATTGGAATCTTCATCGTCCTCACCTAGAAAAAGAAGAAAAGACCTCAATTGTACTCTTTCCTCACATGAAGGAGGCAATGCATGCAATAATCAACACATGACCACATCATAATTTCAATCTCCAGATTCTGTTTTCTACATGATATGACATAACAGCAATAAGACATCTCATGTCAGTTCTCATTCATCAGAGTCATAGCTGGTGCCTCTTCCCCTCCCTCCACTGATCCATCAGGCATATGGGCTTCACACAGTATGCTCTGTTTGGGAGAGAAAGTAGTATACTTCTCAGATTTCTATGGCTCTAAATATCACCATTACAATCCCTTCTCTCCTGACTCTCTCTCATGCCAGTCACCCCCAGCTAGTCTCGCTTTTCCTTCCCCTATTCCAACGTTCCCCAAACCTTCAAAATCCATCTGGCAACTTGGCAAATCGAAGGGAACCCTGCCGAGAAGCACATCCCAAGAGCCCTTGTTAAAGGACCCAATCAGAACCATCTTAAGTCTGATGAAAATGCTTCAGCAACTTTAACGAAGCCCGCCCACTCTTGATGTTCTTGATGCCTGTTTACACCTTGCTATATTTAGCACCCATTCACCAAATGGAGCTCTTCACGGATAGGTCTTTCCATCATCTTAAGCACTATAAATGACAAATGGTCCATCTCTTCTGTGACTCCCACTCCATGCAACGCCAAGCTAGATTTAGCAACCCAGAACCCAGTTTGCCACTGCACTCAACCAACCCACCATCGGGACAGTTGTAACCAATTCCCAAATATGTCACTTACTTATCCAAAGGGAAAACACTCAATATTTGAAGGCCTTACCATGCTATAGGGATTTGTACAAGACAGTTGTTCAGGATACCAACACTATTATGGCCATCTGGTAACCAGTAGGGAATGTCTTAAGAAGGAGAGGATATAATGATAGAATATCACCAGTACCAATAGAAGGTGCAGATGTGACCTTTTCAGATGGGAGGCTAATACCCAGATGTATTTCTATTTATGTTCATTTAGTTCCTCGGGCTGCTTGTTTCTCCTCGAATGGAGATGTTTCTCGGCTTGCAAGATGACATCTTTTTACAGTTTACATTTCTTAGCCTCCTGCTTAGTTTGTGGGTAGCCACGTCTTCAGCTGGCACACTTAATTAAAAGGAAATATGTTTACGTTGAAGGAAAGTTCCAAAATTAGAAGCCATTTTTAAAGACGATAAAATGTGTCTCCCAAGACATGCTAATTTGAGATTTTTAAAGCAGTCCCAAAAATAGTTTCATGCTTTTGGTTAAAGTAGGTACCTCCTATAGAGTTAAAGCACTTACTAAATATTAAGTGTTAATATCCACCCATCTTTGTCAAAACTCTAGAGTACCTAAGTGCCATCCAAAGAGGCAGCCACAAAGCTACAATTGTACCATTATAATCATCCATGGAAGAAGAAATTCCAAACGAGACAGGGGTTGGGGTCTGATGGTCTACCTAGAAGCCAGGAAACTCCAAAGGCCTAACTGAAGTTCCAGCAATGGCTTTCATTGGCACTGAGTAAGATATACTGTGGCTACCTCAGTTTCTCTAGATCATAGGATCATCGATTTTGCGGGAGAAGAGACCTTAAAAGCAATTTATTCTAACCCTCTCATTTTACGCATGACGAAACAGGATGAAAGTTGTAAGATGAAGACAGTAGCACTTATTGACTTAATAAGAGGCAAAGAAGCCTTCGGTGGCAATCCTCAATGGAGAAATTCACGTGATCCCTTTGGACTATGTCACTTTCTTGCCCATTCTCATTCCCCATTATTCAATGATCCTTTCCCTTGACACTAGGCTCTCTCACAAAATACCTAAAATCCCCTCTCTTCCTCACTCCCTCCTCCTTTTGGGCTCAATGAGCTTCTTACATATACCTTTTCTGACCTATGTCATAACATTTGCTCATTCTAATTTAGGAAGATCATCATAGTAAGGTTGAGAGTGAGAAGAGTAACTGAAGATCATCTCGAGTTCTTCCCACTCGCCATTTTACAGATGAGGACAGTGGGCCCAGAGAGACCAAGTGTGTTGCCCACTTGCCCATTAGCAATGCCAGGATTAAAATCTGGGCCTTCTCTTCACTTTATTTGTGTACATATCTCATCCCCTCACTGATATGTCAGCCCTTTGGGGTTAGGGATTAGGTCATTTTATATCTTAGTAGCCCCTATGCCTGGCATAATGCCTTGAATATGGTAAATTCTTGACAAAAGGTTCATTACAGTTGAATTTTCTTCTTCCACTTAAGCAGCTCCTGAAATCTCACCTCTTCCATGAAGTCTTTCTTGATTAACTGAAAGTTAGTCATTGTCCTTTTCACTGAAACAAGCAGCTCCTCATTCTCTGTTTGGCCAGCAATCTAGAACAGCTGCTTATGTAAAGCTTTGTACATTTATGAATTTAATAATTGTTCAATCACCAAATTGCAGACTCTCGGCATTGAAAGGGGCCTCAGAAACCACCTTTGGCAACTTGTGCCTGAAGGTGTCCTCTCTACCACACACCGGACAAAGAGCCGTCCCGCGTCTTCACCAAAGGGAAGCCCACCCTCTCCCACTCACCCGTTTTATTTTGGGATAGCCCTAGTTGTGAGAAAGCTTCTCCTTGCTTATTCAGTTGTCTATGTGTCTTCCTACCATCATCACTCTTGGACCACAAGCTTCTGCCAAAACGAGGTAGCACAGATGTTAATGAATGCTCATGAGCAACGAGGACAGTGGTTCCTGATTAGTTAGGCTAAGAACAACTCATTTCATGGAAAGCTGTGGAGAACAACCAGCTGTGGACCAGAATTTCCCATGTGTTTTTGTAATGGCTCCCTATTACCTCCAGAATCAAATATAAATCCTCTGTTTGGCATTTAAGCTTTTCAGAATCTAACCTATTTTTACCTTTCCAGCCTTCTTATATCATCCTCCTTTCTACAGACTCAGAAATCCACCTATACTGCCCTCTTGCAGTTCCTCACTGCTTCTCATCTCCACGCCGTTGCATTGGCTGTCTCCAGGTTTTAGATGCTCTGTTCCCTCATCTCTATCTCTTAGATTCTGTCAAGACGCAGCTCGAATCCCACCTTCTGCAGGGGGCCTTTCCCGTTCCCCTCCTTTCCCTCCGAGATCACCTTCCATCTGTTCCATTCCATTTTCCATTTGTACATCTCTTGAATGTACCTACTTATCCGCACATTGTCTCCTCCTTTAGAAAGTAAGCTCTCTGAGGGCAGGGGCTATCTTTGTCTTTCTTTGTATCACCAGTAATAGCACAGTGCTTGGAACATAGAAAAAACACTTAATAAATGCTTTCTGGTTGCTGAGTGGCAAGCCAGATCTCTCGACAAAGACCTTCCCAACCTCTAACAAATCAAATGGTCCCTTTCCAGCTTCATACCTGGGGTTCACTAAGTCTATAAATGGGCGACAATCATTGATCTGAATCATTCTGCATCTAGAGCAAAGTCATGCAATGCCAAAACAACTGATTTGCAGATGGAAAGAATTAAATCAACTGGTTGTTTTGTCGACAAAATTTCATCAGCAACCTTGTCGGACTGATTTCTGAACTGAGAGAACTGATCAGAGTGTTGGCACTGTATGCACAAAGCAAAGTTCAAGTGTGACAAGGCTTCTTCCTAATGAGTCCTTCCCCAAAGGGGGTTCCCAGGCACTTCTCAAACCACCATACCAAGATGCCAAACCTCACTGGCTCTCCAGAAAGTTGAAGAGTTAGCCATCTGGGTAGGCTTGGGGCCCAGAAGCACTGGCCAATTGGGTCCTAGAAGTAGAACGTCCCTTTACTGAGGCCCACTGCTTGGTAGCCTCTCTGTGGACTGAGCGGATGTATCTGTCTGACCGGGGTGAAAAAAATCCACTTAAGACCATGTGTGGTCATCTTGATATTAAGGAATCTATCAATTTATATGTAAAATGGATTCAGGGATCAGGGTGAAGCAAGAGACAGGGGGAGGTACAATGGATGATCTCAAAGCTCTCTTCCAATTCTAAAAATTCTCTAACGCCACGATTTTACCATAAGCCTTAGTATTAAACTAATTTCCTCCTGACTTGATACTAAGAACCTTTAAAACCCAGTACCTGATACAGCATCTTGACTGGGCACATAGGGGAAGAAAAGAAAGCCAGGTCGTCCCTAAGACACCTTTTTTTTTTACAGAAATTCCAAGTTACTTGTTTCCCAAATCACTTTTTCTTACTCGTGTGGTTCATCTATGTGTTCGTATGGGTATGTATATGTGTGCATAATAAACCAACACTGCAATGCAAAGCTAGCCATGCAACGAGGCCTGCCAACAAATGCTCTGCCCTGCATTTTTCCCCTTTCCAATTCATAATAAGGCCAACAGATAAATCTAAGAATGAATAAAGAATGGATAAATTGCACATTTGTTTAGTGAAAGACAAACAAAGTGTTCCTGGAACAAAGATTTTCTTTCAACCACACCCACATATGAAAAGAAATCAAAGCACTGCTCTAACAAAACACAGGCCTGAGAAAAAGAAGTTTTCCTCTCCCAACTCCAGTAGGCTGCCCTGAGTTGGGTTGAGTGTATTATTCTACTTTCCAGTCAACAGAAAATCAGTGAGGAGTTGCTGGCACTGGAAAAAAATTTTCAATTAATATAATTATGAGTTTCTAGTAAGGTAACAATTCACTCCCTAGTTACAATCTGTTTTTCCCCATGTCCACTCCCCCCACCCCTCCAATCTGTATATGTCTATTTTTAAAAGGAATTACTAGCTTGTGAACAGGAGATACAAAACTGCTAAACCTCATTTCAACTTCAATAAAAAGAATTTTACCTATTAAAAGTTAATACCTAAAGTACATTGCTTGTAGATGCTCAACCAAAATTACTCTAATCCAGGGCTTATATCATAATTACACGTTTTGTTAACCTCTCTCAATGTCAATTTTTCATTTATTTATATATTTTCAAAGTTCAAAACAGAATTCCATAGAGAAAC